AGAACAAACACACTCACTAATCACTTTGTATTCCTGATGCACATGTTTTTTTCTTCATGTTGTTTAAAGTCTCACTTCAATGACATGTCACACATAGCTGGCATATCACTGACATTGTCTGTTAGCTATATAATCCTCCACTGCTATCAAACAAACAAGATGGCTGACAGATGTCTCAGTTATCGGACTGTGTCCTCACATGGAGGCAGACCAACTTAAAATGGCGACAAAGCCTCACAGCACTGTGGGGCTCTTGATATCAGATTATAGAAACATAGAGACTACAGAGTGAATTTCCTTGTGTTACAGGATACAGAGTTCGGCGGTTTTGGAACAGAGCTTCTTAAGGGATAAAGACTTGACAGTTGTGTTGTGATGTTTCACTTATCTCTGTCTTTACAAGTGGTGTTGTATACTTTGCCATTATTTGCACACAGACCCTTTTCCGGTGGACCTCCATAAAACAGCCAGGTGTGTTTGCAAGGAAGTTTATGACCCCCCCCCCCCCCCCCCCCCATTCATTAATTTACATCCACACTGCTGTGTCTCCAGTAATACAGCATTTTTTCCGCTATGATCACAAAGCATCTCATTGACACAGCGTCTCGCCTCTGGCTGCATCTATTCTCAGGCCAAAACATTTGAACACACGACCCAACCTGCAAACATGTAAGAGGCTGGTCGGAGTGTTAGTTATATCACATGGAACTCAGATCTGTGCAGCTTTAGGGCATAACTTTGTTCCTTAACTTCAAACAGTGACCTGTGACCTTTCAGAGAGAAAGGATATTGGTTGCATTTTGAACCAATGTGCATTGTGACCATATGCTGTTGTTGAGTAAGTAAGTTCATTTTATTTACATAGCACTTTTCCAACAGTTGTCATAAAGTGAATTGTAGTTAGTTTTCTAATGTGTGAAGTGGGCCTACTCAATAGAAAATGACAGAATAAGAATAGAAGTGTCAGTGGCACCGTAGACGTGCAGTGACTTAAGTCAACAACCAGCATTATCTGAGCGGTATGCAAATATATACAACAAATAAGGCTAACACATTAGAAAAAGTGGATGCATACTCCCTTCACATGAAAATGAAATGACCCAACTAGTTCTCTGTTTCCACACTCCTGTTTATCTCCTCATTCTCAGAGATGGCCCCAAGGCTATTTAAGTGACCAGTTTATTTGTCCCAGGGGAATGAGTGCTGCTGGATGAGGGACTGGATAGAATGGCAGACTTCCTCTACACAGACCCACAGACACGCTTCACCCACCAGCACCTCCCTTTTCCTGTTCTTTTCCCTTTTTATTCTACATTAAAACCAAGCTTTTGTAAAGTACAGACTGTGTTTCATGAGGCTGTACTGTGTTTTCATTGCAAGCATACAGTAACTCTGACTGGTTGCCATGGATGTGGAATAGTTAACCACTTGTAAACTAACTTCACACAGCCTTTTAGCCTGACATACTTTATTTGCCCCATTAGCAGCAGAGACCAAGGTTGACGATGGCATTTGCTGGTTGGTCTGACCATCCAAGACTTTGGTCTAGAGCAATGTATCTATACAACCACTAGACTGGAAGGTCTCAAATGATTTTGGTGAATCCCCTGAGCTTTCAGCTACAGATGACAGAACAAAATATCTCCTTAATTCACACTTTGGCCCATATCTTAAGAACTAGATTAGATATGCTGTGGCTGTTCATGCTCCCCAGATGATGAATCTTTTTCATTTTTTGCACGCCTTAAGCTTTTCTCAAGATAAAAATCTCTACTTTGCATACACGATATTTCACTACTGTAATGTGCAAACATTCCATCTGATCTTTACTCCCACGGCTGGTAAGCTTCAAATGACTGAAAAATCTCAATATGTTGGTTCTATACACTTTGTATTGTGCAATAGGGGTGGGCATGGATAAAATCTTACATTAATCACAGTATATGTAATTTTGTGTTTCAGTATTGATACATAGTATGTTGTGATATCGTAACTAAAGATATTTTATTTACACCAGATATTAAAACATAATACAGTAGTGGATGAAAAAGGGTTGTGCTGGTAAAAATGTTCTTTTATTAGGACAGCTGACCAACATTGAGAAACTGTTTTCAATTCAGTTATTTGGTTTGTAGAAAAAAGTATGCAGCTGCATTTCATTTCACCTTTCCCCCCCTTTTTTAACTATATCATTCATCCCATCTGCATTTTTATTCGCCAGATAGTTGGCAGGCTGTCTAGTTTCTCTTGCTGCTTCTACATTTTTGCATTCCAACCAAATAGTGAGCCTCCCTCCCTCCCTTGCTTTCATAGACCCATCAAAACACAAAACAAAACAAAAAAAGATCCCCTCATGTGTGAGGAGAGAACCATGCCTGCCCTACAGAAAACAATGCCAGCCTTTCTGCCCTGGCATTAGAGAGAAAGAGAGAGAGACGCAGAGAGAGAGAGAGAGAGAGAGAGAGAGAGAGAGAGAGAGAGAGAGAGAGGGGGGGGGGGGGGGGAAATAAATAAAAAGAGGAAAAGAAAGAAAGAGAGACTGAGAGTTCTTTGTGAGAGTTTCTGGATCTGAGAGAAAGAAAAGCTCCCAGTGTCCTCCCTGACACAAATGGGCTTTGATGTGGTGGGAGGAGTCAGCCATGCAGGAGTTTTGTTCAGGTTAAGAAATTGAAATCAGTAGGTTAGCTACCTAGCCTACTTAAAGTCGCAGGGAAAGCATGTGAACCCTTAGGAATTGAAATTGGTCATAAAATGTGACCTGATCTTCAGCTAAGTCACAACAATAGACAAACACAGTCTGCTTAAACTAAAACCTAAATTATATGTTTTTCTGTTTTTATTAAACACATTGTAAACATTCACAGTGCAGAGTGGAAAAAGTATGTGAACCTCTAGGCCAATGACTTCTCCTAAAGCTAATTGGAGTCAGAAGTCAGCCAACCAGCCAGAAGTCCAATCAATGAGACGAGATTGGAGGTGTTGGTTGGAGCTGCCCTGCCCTATAAAAAAACATCAATTTTAATTTTGCTATTCCCATGAAGCATTGCCTGATGTGTACCGTGCCTCGCTAAAAGAGCTCTCAGAAGACCTAAGATTAAGAATTGTTGACTTGCATGAAGCTGGAAAAGGGTTACAGAAGTATCTCTGAAAGCGCTGATGTCCATCAGTCCACAGTAAGCAGACTGTATAAATGGAGAAAGTTCAGCACTGTTGCTACTCTCCCTAGGAGTGGCCGTCCTGCAAAGATGTCTGCACGAGCACCACCAGAATTCTGAATGAGGTTAAAAAGAATCCTAGTGTCAGCTGAAGACTCTCAGAAATCTCTGGAATATACTAACATCTCTGCTGACAAGTCTAGGATAGGTGAAACACTGAACGAGAATGGAGTTCATAGGAGAACATCTTGGTGGTGTCCAAAAAAACAACATTGCTGCACATTGGAAATTTTCAAAACAGCATGTGGATGTTCTATAGCACTACTGGCAAAATATTCTGTGGCCTGATGAAACCAAAGTTCAGTTGTTTGGAAGGAGCACACAACCCAATGTGTAGAGGAAAAAGGTTGCAGCACACCAACATCAAAACCTCATCCCATCTGTGAAGTATGGTGGAGGGGGCATCATGATTTGGGGCTGCTTCACTGCCACAGGGCCTGGAAATGTATTCCAGAGTTTATCAAGACATTTTGGAGAAGAATGTAAGGCCATCTGTCCGCCAGTTGTAGGTCAACAGGAGATGGGTGATGAAACAGGACGACCCAAAGCACAGAAGTAAATCAACAACAGAATGGCTTCAGCAGAAGAAAGTACACCTTCAAGAGTGGCCTTCTGACCTCAACCCGATTGAGATGCTGTGGCACGACCTCAAGAGACTGATTCACCCCAGACATCCCAAGAATTTTGCTGAACTGAAACAGTTTTGTAAAGAGGAATGGTCCAAAATTCCTCCTGACCATTGTTCAAGTCTGATCTGCAACTACAGGAAACATTTGGTTGAGGATGTTGCTGCCAAAGGAGGGTCAACCAGTTATTATATCCAAGGGTTCACATTCGCTAAACCAAATAATGTAACTGTGCACACCTCACATTTGGCAAGAGTTTGGGCAGAAAGCAAAACTTCAGTCCACCCACATTTTATACCAGCTTACACGCGTTTAAATTTTAGTAAGAAATAACAAATGACAAAATCTAAAGTAGAGTCCACAATGGTCTTACTTGACTTTGATGCTTGGTGGCTCAGTTTAATTGCTTAGCGCCAGAATGTCCTGGAGAACAAAAGCATACAACAAACCTGACACCATCTTTGAGACAGACGATTGGTAGTTCAACTTCAGTTGTAGTCTTGAAGCTGCTCCTCAGTCATCTGAAACACAGAGCACATGCAGTCACTAATACATGTTTGAAAAAATCAGTTTCAAGGAAGCAAATTACTCAAAATGTTCTGTAACTGCTAAAATGACATGAGGACATCTGGAAGTGAAATGTTTAAGCTGCAGTAAAAGTATGATAACGCAGTTTTCCTGTTCTGATGGGAAACTTGTGTCCACATAATGTACTGCTATATGAAATTGCATTACAGAAGATATTAGGCAGAGATTTTCATCTTTTCAGCTATTCTTGTCTTTCTAATATAAATAAACAAGTTAAAAACAAACTACAGGTGTTATCCCGACATACTATATTCAGTAGACTCGCCATGATTTATTTATAGTGGCTTGTTCAGTCGTAGCTCCTCCATCCATCATGCTCACTTTTTATTTGGTCACCTTTATTTTTATTAAATCACTTCAGTCATCACTCTCTTCTCTCATCTTGCTCCCTTCTCTTTTCTTCTCCTTCTCTCTTTTGATCACCTAGCACACACACACACACACACACACACACACACACACACATCTCTCTGTTATGTTCGTCTTTGGTGCTGCCAGATAGGAATGTAGGTCTTAGTTTAGTGGAGCAAGCAGCAACAGGTCCACCTCCTGAGTGGAAATTTGTGGAGGATTCTGCACCGGTAGCTTTAGACAAAGGACTGGGATCAAGACAAAGAGACAATCTGTGTTTCAAAGAAGCGGCGGAAAGTGAAGTTGAATTCACATTTTGGCAGTCTTGGATGTGTCCTGTGCTAACTTAAGTTCACACTGATAGAACTGAGTCAGTAGCCAGGAGCGGCTCTTTGCCATGGAGGCTATGCATTTGCTGGACAACTGGAGAGAGGTAATTATTATATTTAGAGACAACAAAAGACAGGTCCACACTAAAAAGTTGGTTAAGTTTCCCGTGAGAAACGTTGCATGCAACCTGAGTGGAAGAACAGTTTGTAGGCTCTAGAGTCTTGCCTCTTCTGGCTCAGGAAAGAGTTTCTTATTGCACTAAAGCATTTTCACATTTTCTCAACATTTATTTTTATTTTCTGGCTGTTTTGTGATTTACTGTTTGAGGCTTCCCTGAGGCTGACTCCGCTGAATATCATTTCACGGGTCTGTCAGAAGAGCAAATATGATGATATCGCAGCAGTGTTTTGTTATCCTGAGGGCAGAGTACATCAGAACCGTATTTTCCATCCCTGCTGCACAACATTTTAGGCATGCAAATGACTCCGGGTACACTCTGATTCTCTGTGATTGCTATAATTGTGTTGTTTCTAACCTTTCTGTGTGGTTTTCTGTGCTTCCTCACAACCACAGGCTTATCACATCACAAAATGACTGCACAAGTCTTTTCTCACATTTACATTCACCCATATACAAAACCTGGCCGATTAACACGTGTACCAATATAGACTGGAATATATTTATAGCTGTTTGTTCAGTGCTGACTTGATGGAAATACCCCAAAATGACTGAGTAAGAAGGAATGTTGTTGTTGGTCTTGGGCACAGTGTGTGTGTGTGTGTGTGTGTGAGAGAGAGAGAGAGAGAGAGAGTGTGTGTGTGTTTTCATAGACACTGAGAGACAAGAGAGCAGCCAAGGTGGCTGGTTTCCAGTGAATGTGTCAACTCCCGAGAGATTTAAATGTGTGTGTGTGTGTGTGTGTGTGTGTGTGTGTGTGTGTTTTGCTTCCTTAGTGTGTGTTGCTTAATGTTGTCTACCATCTGTTCTGCCCGTTCACTGATAGTGTGAATCACACCTTGACACATTAGTGTCAGTGTGGGGAGGGGGAATCCAGCTAAATAAGGTCCAATTTTCTCAAATGATGCTGGGAAACGTTTACACTTTATTCTGATGTATCCATATCAGAAGGTGACCATGAGAATACAAACTACGCAAAACAGTTTGATACAGAAAGTCACCCATGACGACTTTTTTGACTAATATTATAGCTAATATTGATGTTCTCATTTCCTCCCACAGGATCTTCATGTGTCACAGGGAGCCGTGGACAGCTCAGTGGACATGGACCGCCTGAACAGGAACATGCCTGAGTGTGGACGGAAAACCCATCAAGTGTTGCAGGTAAGTTTTGGGGAGTCGGGGGAAGGGAGAGGAGATGGAAAAGGAAGAAAAGGAACGAGTCAGAAAGAGTCTGATTGTTCTCAACTTGGCACCCATCACAGAAAAACACAGCCATGTGTTATCAGTGTGAATGTTTTGTTGCATGTTTCCAATGCGTACCCATTCACAAACACAGTAGGCGCTCTCTTCTTCTAATAACTGTCTCCATTGATGGTAAATGTCACCACATTGGCTGCTCTGGTAGATTTGTAGCACTAAACCTTTCCATGGATCATAGGTCAGGTCAGGCGGTGCAGCTGGGACACGTCCTGACAGCATATGTCAGTGTGTAAAGCAGGAATCTCCAGCCAGAGTCAGTAATTAGACAGGCCCGGAGATTGGATGTCTGTGTTTCCCACCTGCTGGGTCTGACAATCCTATCAGACATGAAGGGGTGTGTTTGTGTGTGTGTGTGTGTGTGTGTGTGTGCTGTTTTTTCCTGTGCTGGTATGGGAGTTAGAGGGAGCAAGAAATGGAAGATAAAACATGAGATTTAACTTTAATGACTCCTGCGGGGAAACTGGGACGATGCTGTATAATGCTGTAAATAAGAATATAGCAAATTAGAGGTATTTAAACGTAATTTCACCAAATTTTCATTAATTTCTGTGTGATTGAAAAGTAAACTAAAGAAATGTTAATTGCGACGAAAATGATGTCTCGGTGGTAACCGCTGACAATCAAAGGAAGGAAAGACTTGATGGAAAAACATTGTGGCATTTATGCATGAAAACTGACCTCTTGAGATGACTCCAACACGTGTCTCAGTAAACTAAGTGATCATTATTTATATCATTAATAAGTTTAACCACTGGTTTTGTATTTATTTTTTAAATATGTTTGTATGCAGCACAATAGTGTGTGTGCAAGTGCAATATATGGTACATTTTGGCATTTGTAGGTGAAAGAGCACAATCGTAGGTGATGGTGTATGACGTAGGTGTGGCTTTTGTCCAGCAATGAGGTCAAGATGGTTTATATTTTTGCCTCTATTTTTTTATTTTTTTTACTATATCTCCCATTTTTTGTTTTCCACTTAAGAGCTCACTTTGTGGCAAATGTTGAGTAATGTTACCAAAACTGATTATGTTTTTCAAATCTGTCTTAAATAAGAAATGAGCAAAATAAAAGAAAATACATGATGTGCAGCCAAATGCTGAAGCCAGAAACAACACAACATGCACAATATAAATGAGAACACTATAGTTTATATACATAGTGTACAAAAAGTCAGTGAGTACAAACTTCTTTGGTAAAAAAAATCACCTAGTCAAATACAATATGTAGACATAAAGTCTTTAGCACGCATGCAAATTCAGAACTGTGCATTCCATTCTCCTATGCACTGTTTATGTACAGACAGACAGAGGAGCAGGCTGTTGCTGTGTGCACCACATGGGAGCAGCAGCACACAGCATATGAGGCAGTATGAGTCCTGTAGTGTTGCCCCACTGGCACCTCCCCTCTCATCCCATCACTCCCAGTGAGCCTCCCAGTGTATCCCAGCCAGTCTCTGCAATCCTCTTAGGCTTGACCCCACTCCACTGACAGCACCACCACAATCAGATAATCCTATTAGGACACACACGGCTAGCTAACCAGGCGAAAGGCTGACTCAATGATCGCGTTCAGGTTGTAAATAAGAAATGTAAGGGCTCAAAAGTGGGACAAAAAGACTCAGTCACAGCAGGTTTTAAAATGCAAATACATGCCAGTGAGTGACTCCACACACCCATCAGAGTTAATTTAACACTTCACCTGGCACTAGTGAGAAAACAGTTTTTTAGTCAGTGCTGCCACTGTCATCATTTGCTGTGATGTGACACTAATTTGCTAAGTAGTGAATGCTAAATGATCAAGCCACACCTCACTGCTGCTGACAGTGAATTTCCAGCGATGCAGAATTATAAATGTGGGGTTGTGACTTTACATGGGATCACTTGATAAACAGACAGGGACCTGTGAGACTGTTACATTTAAATATTTTGAAGTATTTCGAATAAACCAAGCAGGGTGGACACTCAGACACACTTTTTTTTTATTTTTTATTTTGGGACCGAAAAATTGCATTGTGGCTAAATTTAAATAATCGGCTTTCATGTAAATGTATGTTGCCATAACATACATGTGAAAGATCTATATGCTACCCCTCTGTCAGCTGTCCTGGTGTAAATTTATCTTTGATAGTCCAAGATGTTTTTTTTCCTTTTCTTCCTTTGGAATAATGGATGTTGCTCAACAGGAGAAGTAATTTGTTTACATCAAACCCTGGGAGGGACAACGACAGAGACGAAGAGAAAAACCCAACAAAACACATTCTGCTGCATCCCAGCCAGAACTCCCCTCTACACCGACTCATTTAACAATAAGAGGACGACTAAAAAGCAGATTTGTCTTTATGTGCAGGCATCGCTGTGCTGAAAATGGCTCATCAGAAGTTCGCCCGTTGAACACACTCCAGGAGCTTCGTGTTTCTTAATTGCAGAGTGTTGTTGCTATGGCGACATCCCTTCCCCCTTGCTGAACCCAGAGCACATGGCGGTGCTTTAGGCAGAGCTGCAAGGGGTTGGGAGTGGTTGGGGGGGCGACATAAATGCAGACAAACACACACACACACACACACTTCGCTCAGTGTGTAGAGGAATATGTAAACAGCCAGAGCAGCCAGCTATGGAAATGACCTCCCACAGTGAAGACATTCAGACTCCTCTTCTCATCCTCAGAGTGGACGACGCGCCTCTCTCTGTAACTCTGATGCTTTAGTGAAGCAGTTCAGCTCCACAGAAATCTCTGTAGCTCCTCTGTAATACGACATCTCCACATTTTTGGTGTCATGCACAGCCTATTAGTTCAGCTAATGGGCAGGAATGATTACTGATGAGGCATCAGTCAGTGTGCCATTTATAGGCCAGACATATTTGTGCAAGTGGAGATGGAGGATGTGACCTCTTTAGGTGTAGATTACATACAGTGTGTTGCGATGTCTGCAAAGTTGTGATTGACATTTTCTTTGCGGAGCCTTTCAATGACGGTGTCTAAGGTCAATAATTGATACTGTGGCTCATTTACAGCGCTTGTAGCTATGAATGTAGCTATGAACAAGTTACTGTATATATGAGTTTTTCAAATAGTTATTTGGCACAGAATGTCAGTGTAATCAAAACATGTAATGCAATTTGCTGCGTGTATTTATAGTAAAAATCCCCTTCTGTGATTCTTAGTACCACATATTCCACATTTCTTTTTATTTTTCTGGCAAAAGAAAGAAAAAGGCCTATAATCCGTCAATCTGAAGCATACACTAACCCAAAAAAGGCTAATTTCTCTAGTCTTAAAACCTTTGGATAAATGGAATTGAGAATTTGTTTGTGACCTTTGACCTCCTTTTCAGGGCACCCCGCTGGACCTTATTGAGACCGGAAAGGGGCTGAAGTTCCAGGCAGAGCGCCCACATCTGGTCAGCCTGGGCAGTGGACGACTGAGTACAGCCATCACCCTGCTGCCCCTGCCTGAGGGTGAGACATCTGCAGTAACAACATCACACCAGTTAGCTTCAGGGAATCACGTAGCTACAACAACAGATGTTACAAAATACACTTTATTATGTTATTTTTGTCTAGGGGTAAGTAAAAAGAAAGAGATTGAAGGGGAAACATATCAAAAACAGGGCCCATAAATATGTGTTTTTACATGTAAGAATATACATATTTAAGAATATCAAAATAAATATCAGGGCGGAACGGTGGTACAGTAGTTAGCACTGTCGCCTCACAGCAAGAAGGTCGAGTGGTTGACGATGGATGGATGGATGAAATAAATATCATTATCGCATTATTCCTGCTAATATCGCAACATAACATTTTGTCAATATCGTATTTTTGTCTGGGAAAAAAGCTTTTTGAAAACAATATTATATTTTGGATCACTCTTGCTTCATTCAGTTAAAAAAAAAAATGTTTGCTGTGCAGTCACACACGTAATAAGTTATGACATCACTGATGAAATTGCTGTCACTTTGTTGTTTCCAGACTTTTTTATTGGCTTGTAATGTGGGGTGTGCTTTGTTGTATTTATTTTAAATGCTTTTATCACATTTCTTTACAAGGGGCCACAATGACAGACACTTAAATCTCTGGTACCTGACCCTGTTATCACTTCTATATCTATCTTTCGTCAATGTCTGTCTCTTTGTCTTCTGAACTGCAGGCAGGCTTCATTATGTGTTACTCTGACTGCTGACCTCTTGGCCTTGGGTCTGCCTGTCTGCCTGTCTGTACCTGTGTGTCTGGCCTTTCTGTCTCTGTCATTGCCTCTGCAGGCTGGTATTGCAGGGACATTCCTTTCTTAGAGGTGGTGTCCAGGCAAGGAAAGTGTGTGTGACCCTGTGTGTGTGTGTGTGTGTGTGTGTGTGTGTGTGGGTGGGGGGGTTGTTTAAACATATTTGTGTGGTCCAGAAACCTGGATTCCACTATACTTGAGGGGTCGACTGCTTTTTGATTGTGTATTTTTTTTTGTTGTAAGACTCTCATTGTTCTCTTACTGCTGGCCACAGTCCAGATGAGAGAATATCAAAGCTGATAAAAATGTTGATAAAAATATGAGTAATAGGTATAATGAGCAGCAGCGAATGGTGCAACAAGTGCTTTGCAGACTTTTTTTTGCCATGGCTTTTGCCTCTCAGGTTGCATACAGGCCTTCTGCATCTACCGTTTTTCAAACCAACTTTAGATGCACCCATGCCTGTGTGACAAAGGCCTTGATGACTGCTGGGACTTTGAAATATGACAGCTGCAGTAGCTTGGAAAATAGGGCTTTGGGGTAGAGATACACATCTATTCCTGTAAAAGGTACAAAATGGGTGCTTGGCTTATGTGAATAGTTTAACCCCCTCCTCCTAAGCCAGTCTCTACAGCAGTAACAAATACATGTTTCAAACACAACAAATAAACAAACACAACCACAGTACAAAATTTAAATTGAATTTACAGGTTATTATTAACAATGGGGATAACAGCCGGGATGAATTGAAGGCCTTTGAACTTTGTTCCAATAAGCTAACAAAGGAGGAAACTTCCTGCAACTTTAACAGCTAGCTATGTAAGCTGAAATTATTATTGTTATGAAGAAACCTCTCAGCTGACAGTCATAGCTATCTAAATGAAAAGCTAATACACATAATACTGAACATCGGGTCAGGAATCATAATCTTTCTGTAAACAATTCATGCACTACTACGTTAAATCTTAAAATCAATTTTAAAAGATCCCCATAACCACCAGTAACATACTGATCATCTCCTCAATAATTACTGTACGTTATCAACCCAATTACATATTACTGCACCACATCAGATGTTATTCTGACTCTTCTTCCTCCCCTTAGGCCGGACCACACTGGGTCATGGTTCCATGGACATCAACATCCAGGGGCCCGGGGTGGCAGCTCAGCACTGCTACATAGAGAACAGGTCGGGGGTCATCACGCTGCACCCCTGTGGAAACCTCTGTGCTGTTGACGGTCTCCAGGTCACACAACCCATGCGCCTGTCACAAGGTGGGAATCCGCTGAAACATCCAACCCATAACACACTCTGCTGTCATTTAGTTGATTTTAATAATATTGCTTCTACTTCAGATGGATTTCCACTTTCTCCACAGTAGAACAAATATTACCAGATCTAAAATTGATCTGTGGTTTTTGTTTAACTCAGCTGTAAGTTCACCTGCCTGCTGGTGTGTATTATCTCAGTTACTGTAAGAGATCAATCCATTAGCTCTCTGCCTAGTCAGAGAAAAAGCAGCGCCCGCAGGTCTATTGAATAAAATGCACAGTATGTGCTTTTAAATTGCCTTCGATTGAGGAACAGCCGAGTTTCCTGTGTTAATGAGTTACCAGAGTGAGTTTTGACGTGCTCAGGCATGCAGATATTGAGCAAACCAGAGAGAGAGAGAGGAATTGATTTTGGATCTTAGCTCGGACTCTGTGGAGAACTGTACTAAAATGATCCCCAGGGATTGACAGTTTCAAGATAAAGGACTGTTTGCACAGCCTCCTGGGGAAGCAGGGAAGCTATGGCAAAAGCTAACTGTACCCCCCGTCAGACTCATCTGTCTAACCAACAACAACCCTTAAAGTAGAAATTCACAAGACGATGTAACTGAATGGATCTCACTGATTCAGTAAAGAGAAATGTGCTGCACACAAAGAAGTCAAGACATTTTGCAACAAGGATAGAACCTGTTCAAAGCTTAAGATATGTCTAAGCTGAAGGACAAAAGTGAGGCTGCATGCGGTACCTTCACACTTTCACAAGCTACAGGAAATAATAGTTTGTGCTCTCATTCTTAACATTATACTCACTGATCTGGGGACAGGGCCAATTTAACAATAGAGTCCAATAGAGCAAGTAGTCCAAGCAATTAAATGATAAGACATAGGTTTAAGCAAATCCCCAGTTTAACCCAGACCACATTATTTAGAAGCAAAAAGGTGAACACACCAGACAATGAAATCATCAACAGCACTATAAACGCTACTGGAAGTATAGCATGCCAAATCTGAACCAGTATAGTATCTCTCATGTCTACACTGAAACAGGGTTTGCTTGCTGTCATTCCTCCTGCTCATACTGGACATGAAGAGATCCCTTCCTAATGTGATTACAATGTAAGTGATGGGGGACAACCTCCACAGCTTATCTTCAGCAGTCTGAATGATCTACATCAAGTGGCTATCGTCCACAGTTTCTTTCTGTTACTAAACTAACAGACAGGTGTATTTTTGCATCACAGTCCGGCCCGCTGCTGCTTCAACAAATCAGAGAGGAAGTAAAACTGTAAACCAAACAAACTGTCTCAATTTAGTCATGGAAATTCATAGACGTTTACGTCGTGTTATGAGAATGAGTTAAAGGGACACTACTCATCATTACTCACAGTGCTCGCAGGATGTGAACTTCCCTCTCTGCTGCTGTGTAATCACACACTGCAGTGTTATTTCTCATTCTCAAATGGATGACAAAGACATTTTACATGGAAGTTATTCCTTTCTAAATGCTTTCTGCATACAGTATCCTGTCTTCTGCATGCCTTTGTGATGTAGAAGAAGAAGTGTGTTGCCTGTCAGAGTGTCCCTCTGTCTTTTGGTATTTCAACCTGGACTCTGGTTGGGTAACCTGAGCAGGGACACAGGGCTATTTATACTGCCCCTCTACCCCCGACACTGTTCCAGAGGGAGTTTCAGGTTGAAGAATGAGTGTGAGGGTAAACCGGAGTTCACTGTCAGGGTCCTGGGAGAGTTGAAATGAACAGTGTAAAGAGCTGAAGTATGAAAAGAAACTGTTTTGGTTGTTTACAAGGCGGCATCGCCTCCTGTAGTGCTCACGCAGGCTGATACAGATCTAATTTTACAGCAGGAAGTGGATCAGACATTATTGGTTACACAACATTTTCTATACCACTCCCATGATTTATGTCTATTGCATGAGTAATACATTGTAGTACACTTAAAGGTTCCCTACAAGACAAGTGAAGTATTGTAGGTCCAGATGATGCTTCATAGTAAGCTATTATTAAAACGCTGATGTGTCACACGTAATCCAATGCTGTCCACAGTCTGTATTTTCATTTGAGTGATGGCCTCGACTTATCAGTGTTACAATTTCTAGAAAACTGAGCAGCAACAAGTCAATATTGTTACAAAATGAAAATGCGCTCAACAAGCTTTTAGCTGTAATCCTCCTGGATTTACAACATAAATCATAAGAGCCAGTGGAGGAAAATCCCGACAATGAAAGGGCATGTAAAAACTAAGCCAGTTTGTTCAAAGCGAGATGAGCTGATGTTTTAAAGGGATAAAGGTTAGTCGGCTTGATTCAGAAGGACTACAAGGGGAGACAAAAATCTCAACAGAGAAAGACATTAAGACAAAAGAATTTCTGGCTAAACACCTAAACCCATTTACACTGTGAGTAGAGTAATAACTGATGACATAATTTCTGGGTTCTCTTAGGTATTAGACATACGAAAAAAAATATCTTGCACACGTACAGAGTTGGTATGAGCAACAGAAAATTTTGAAATGTTTAAAGGTGCATTCTACGGAAGCCCTAAGTGGTCAATGGTTAAAACATTTTTTTACTCTGACTTCCTGTGATAACGGGATAATTATCTCGTGAACTCAAAATAACAAAACAGTCGTTTATCCCAGGGGTCAGTGTGGTTTTCAGTGTCTCTGGTTACCTCAGTTGGTAGAGCATAGGATTCATAGTTAAGGTTGCATGTTTGCAAGTTTTTTCTTATTAATCTTAATCACACAATCCTTAGATTGAAAGTCCTGTGTTCTACCAACTGAGCTAACCAGTAACACTGAATTATACTGTTATCACAAGAAAACAACATTCGTTATCTTAAGATCACAAGATAATTATCCTGTTTTCACAGAAAATGGAGTAAAGAAATTTCTGAATGGATGGCCGCTTAGGGCTTCCATAGATTTCCACAGTAAACAGTAAAATGCTGCTCCATGATAATAATCACAACATATTATATACATATTAGACCATTCACAGGTCATGTTTCTCAGTACTTTACTTTTTTTTTATACTTGTAATGGAGTTTTTGTAACAATAAGAGTGAGGCTATTTGTACTGCTGATTTTACTAAAGTAAAGAATGTGAATACTTCCTCCACTATTGACCTTATGTGGCCAGATCCCAGTCTTTTTCTTTACAGTTTGTTGTTTCAGATGGGACACACTGGCTCTGTATAAAGTCAGTGGGGCAGACAAATAAGCATGTGATAACCAAGCAAATAACCGAGGACACACACACTATCATAATATTTATTGCAGTGGTTAATGTGCTTTGAGAACACTTGAATACTCCCTTTAATGCGTATATTGTTGTGATAATGTTTAAAGCACACCTTTGTTCCTTTCATATTATATAGTAATAAAAGATATGAGAGAGAGTGTGTGAGAGCCACACCTTGGTATGCTTTCTCACCATCAGCTTTCTTGACATGACAGGTTAAATCCCAGTGGGTGTTGCCAACAGAGTTTAGACTCAATTCAGGCCACAGTTTGACATTAACATAATCAATAAATGTTACTGATCAGTTTAATTCCTCTACTGTGGATTAATTAAGATGTGTGTGTGTGTTGGTTCACTCCCGTGGGCTCTCTTAGAGACCCCCCTCTTCCCCTTTATGTCTCTCTCTCTTTCGCTCTCTCTCTCTCTCTCATTACACAGCTCTGACTCAGGATCTCCACCTTCTTTTCTTCCTCCCGCTCCTCCTCCTCCTCCTCCTCCTCCTCTCTGGCGTCTCTCTCCCATTCCCTCTCGCCCCCTGACAGCCCTGGCTCTCTGTGCGGGCTGAGCGATGACTGTGAGCCAGCTGTTTCTCTCAGGGGTCCCGGCAGACAGTATGAGATAGCGTCGTTGCTCCGTGAAGCGCTCGGAAGGAGACAATGGACAAAGATTACAGTGATTGTGAACTCCCGCACTGGTTTGAATGAACTGGGATATACCAACGCACCAGTGGATGAACCCGTGTGTTAACAAGTGGGCAAGCAGACAGCTCCCTTTGTGGACATTCAAATATCTGCAGAATATATTAGGCTATCTATGGGGTTTTAGGATTATCATAACAAAAGCGCGTCGGGACAAAACCCCATAAACGCTCCTGTTGTTCCACAATAATTCGCAGAAACGGAGAAAAACACGTGGTTTTATTTAAAGGAGCAGAGGCGATGAAAACAACGGAGGGAGCGAGGAGTTTCATTCACTGGAGTTAAAGTAAGTGGGTTTGTCTTTACTGTATACTAGTTACAGGGTTTTAAACTCTGTGGTTGTTGTGCTGTTTGCTTTCAGCACTTGCTGGGCTTGTAATTTGTGGTAGCCCGGTGGATGGTGTGATTAACGTTACTGTGAGGAGACAAGTAGCTTTACAGAGTAACGTTAACTTAAAGTGATTCTTGTTGGCTAGTTTATGTGACTACAGCTAGCATATTGTGAGCACGAGTTGCTAATGTGGACAGCATTGCTTTCAGTTGTTCTGTTTGGGTTATTTTTACCCAAAACACACACTTTCGCCAAACTCCGCTGAAATATCTGACAAATGTAACAATGCACTTTCATATTGTTGAACTACAAGTAACATTAACAGAGCAATACCTACGCCTTTCCATTAATTAATAGGGAACTTTTTTTTAAATTTGGCATCTTATACCAAACGTTACTTATTCCAGTTTGTATTATTTTCTTTCCTGTAATTCACAATTTGCTCGTCCACTGAAGTTGAAGCCGGTGGGTTAATGCTAGCTGTGTTAGCTTTTGTTTATTACAAAAGTTCTGATTTTATTTACATAAAACACCTTCTTATATTACATTTTATGCCGAAATATTTCAAGTACCCTTCTGGCCTCATACAGTTGTTAAAGTCACACTTTAACATGAGCCTTTTCCCCCCGAAATGCAAGGAAATTCAAAACTGCCAAATCTTTGAACGGAGTTTGGCCTGTCACTCCACACATGCAACATGAACACCTGCTCC